TTTTTTTTGTTTGCTTGTTGTTTGCTTACACAAAGGTTTATTATTTTTGATGCTCTAAGTACATTTTTTTCTTATTTCATTTTCAGATTTTTTTCATTGCTAGCATATGGAAATACAGTTGATTTTCTTACATTAATCTTTTATCTTGCAGTCTTGCTCAACTTGCTTATTGGTTCTAACATTTTTTTAGTGGACTCTTTAGGATTTTCTAAAGAATATCTATTTATCTTTGAATAAAGATAGTTTTTCCTCTTTTTTTTTTTTTTTTTTTTTCATTTCTTTTCTAACTGCCCTGGCTAGAACCTCCAGTACAAATACTTAATTGAAATGAGAGTGGATATTCTCATCTTGTTCCTGCTCTTAGTGGGAAGCATTTAGTCTTTCACTTATGGAGGTGAAAGGTGACCTGTAATGGAGGTCATAGGTTTATATTGCCTGTTTTTTATTCTATTTTATATGAGGTAAGGGGCACAAAGCAGTCTTTAATAAGTTGATAATTAGCTTCACTCAGAACATTTTAAATAATGCACATTAATATGTTGCCTATCCTAAACATTGGTATTTTACATACAGTTCCATATTAGTACCTATCAAACACCTTCATCCTTTGTAAAGTTGACATAATATTCCTTTTCTTTAATAAATTGTGTTGTAATGTGTAATCTTGCTATATCTAACTTTGCACATATATCCATATATCTTTAGAACAAATTCTAGAAGAATCACTGTTAATTTGGTGGGTGTGGGCAAATTGCTCACCACTACATGTTTTCACTAGAGAAAAAAGTGTAAGAACTCCTTTCTCCCATATTCTCACTGACATGTTGTTATCAGAGTTTTAATCCTTGCCAATTTGATAAGAAGGAAAAGGGTATTTCATTGTAGTTTTAATTTGTACTTCTGTTTATAAGCAAGGTTGTTTATCTTTTCATATGTTTAAAAGATATTTCAGTTTCTCTTTGTCAGTTTTTTGTTTCATACTCTTAATGAGTTGTTGGTCTTTTTTCTTTCTAGTTTATAAAAGTTCTTTCTATAAAAAGAAATTCGTCTTTTGCCCATAATATGTTTTGAGCCTGTTTTTTTCATTTGTATTTTGACTTGGCTGATTTTTCATGAGAAGAATTTTCAGTGTTTGCAGAGTGTATTTTATTGGGCTTTTTGGGAGGTATAATTTATAGCTTCTAGATTTTGCATCATATTTACAAAGGTCTTTCCAACTCAAATGTTATAAAAATGTTCTCTTTCCTTTTAAAAAAACACGACAGATTTCCTTTTCTAGTTTTCTTGGCATCTGTGTGGTTCTAATTCTACAGATATCTCTAAGAGTATCTCAGAACTTTAAAGTTCCCTGAGGGTATCTCTGTATATAATTTATCCATGCAAAATTTGAACTTCATTTGGATAACTAGACAATTTTTGAAAAGTTCTTTACTTATTTTACAGAATCCATTCTAGTGTATCTCACCCGTTTTATCTTTTTCGGAGCAAAGTTCCTTCCATTTGGTACCATGTATGCAGAAGCAAAGTAGAAACTGAGTTTTCCCCTCTGTCTCCCTCATCTCTACTTTCTGTTCAAGTTCTTACTTAGTTTTGGGTCCTTGTGGACTTGTCTGATATTTTGTGTTTTAGATCTCTACATAAAAGAAGACAATGACTTTTGACTGCAGCCAGATTTATTTCTCATTTACTTACATTTTTTAAGAAATATTTAGTAAAGCTCGATACCTAGCTATATTCGAAGAAGATAGAAACAAAATTTATCTTATGGCCCTTGTCTTTTTAGGGGAAAAGACAAGGTCACACATTAATAATGCCATTATTATTAATAGTATTATCAGAAAATAAATGTATTCCTTTAGATATAGCCCAAGATTTTTGTTTGTAATTTTTTTTTCTTTGAAACCTTGCTTCAGTGAAATACCCAGAAGTTCAGAAGGAACTTGCTCTTCTCTATAGTTCATTTTTCTAAGATGCAGTTGTGAGCAGATTCTCAGAACTGGACATATGAGGAGCCAGGCCATATCTGTATCAGGTCCAAGAATTCTGCAATGTCAGTCACGGTGTGTTCTTCCAACCACTTGTGACAGGCGAAATATTATTTTTATTGAGTTATGCTAGCTTTCTAATAATGCTTTTTTGTAAAGGAAACAAGACTTCATTTATTCAAACAGTATAAGGCTCACCTGCCCTTCTAGTCAGTTTTTAGTGTTTCCTTTTTCTCCTAGTGTACTTAGTTAAATTCAGGAGGCTCAGCAATTCTGACTTTAAAGTGAATTAAGGTCCATTAAAACTACATGATAACTATGGGTGTGTATGTCCTTTCTTGGGAAAAGTGAAGTTGATCTTGGTTGGACACAAATATATTTCCGGAATTGGTTTTCCATATTAATATGATTATAGCTGCAATTTCACAAAAAACTTTGTTTTTCCTGAGACTTTCTGTATTTTCTAATAAGATTCTGTCCAAAAGCACCAGTCTCTGAAGTTGATGTGAAAAACACTTTCAGATGTATTTGGGTTATCTTACAGCATAGTTCTGCCCTCCCACTTGATACTCCTTCTTTTTCTTTTGGCATTACTTTTTTCCCCATTCCCACTTAGTGTCACCCAGTTGTGACTAATAGGTAGGTGTACATACAAGGAAAGGAGGATTTATTTTAGAGCTTTCAAGTCGGTGATCATTTCTGTTCTGAAGTCTACCAGTATCTAAGTAGTGTTACTGTGTGCTGACATGTAACACAGGTAACACAGAAAAATCTGTTAACATAGTGCCTCAAAGCAGTAAGCTAGTCATGTTCTGTTTGCTGGAGAAACAGTGGGTCTTTACAGCTCTTCCTTAGAGCAAAGGAATGAACGTGAGAGGACTGAGGTGGTGGTGTTCTAAAATTTTAAGAGCACCGAGTAAGTATCAGGAGAGGTATGATGGAACAAAACATGCCTCCACTGAAAGTGCCATGCTAAGAAACAGCAACTAAATTAGCAGTCTGTGAGCTCATATCTCATGCGTTGGAGTGGGAATAATGCATCCTACACTGGATTGAATCATTAACTGTAAGAGAAATTGGAGTGGTTCTCTGTATAGAGATAAAGTCAGATAAACTTTAATTGGCAAGAGCTCAATCAAGTCTTGGTATTAACTACCTATCTTTGCTATTTGCCAGCAATGTGAATTCAAGCACATCAATTCACTTGTTTTTGCATTAGTGCTTTGTAAAGATGATAATAATATTCCTACTTTTGATAAACATATACACGTGCACACATAGGTACAGCAAGTATATAGTACCTCACACACACACAAAGACTTCAAGAGAACATTAATGTTCTTAACTTTCTTGTTTAAGAAAGAAACAAGTTTCTTTATTTTTTAAACAAGCTTTCTTAATTTTTCTGTCGTTGTTTTAGTGGTACTGGAGTTTGAACTCAGGGCCTCACACCTGCTAGGTAGGTGCTGTACCACTTGAACCATTCCCAGCCTTCTTATATTAAAGAGTATTGGAATATTTATTACAAGGTACCAAATTAAGTTTCTGGGTTTGGTTTTGTTTTTTTAACTAGCGAATATTTGCAAACAATTGGCAATTGTAGCTTGTAAGAGATAACTAATTGCGTAGATTATTTTAGGTTTTTTTCCAGGGGTAATAATCATTCTACTGCTTGTACTACACTTTCAGAAAGCTGCAAATTTGACCATTCTCATTCTTTGTGGCTTTTTCTCATCTTTGTAATTTTTAAATCTAAATCTAATAGAAACTTCTTCCTCCACTTAAATTGCATTTGGTCTTTTGACATTTTTCCTTTTTGTTTAGTCACAGTTTTTTCTTCATCGGTTTATTTCATATGACTTAAATTTCCTCTTCTGAGATCTTTCTTTAAAATGTTGTTTTAAATGTATAGTCATCTCTTCCAATTGAGAACTTACTTTGCTGGGTGTAGTGCTTGCCTTCATCTCAGCTACACAGGAGGCTGAGGCAGGAGGATCACTTGAACCCAGGAGCTTGTCAGCCTTGGCACATAATGAGACTTTGTCTCTCAAAAGAAAAAATAAAAAAGAACTTATTTTATTCTCATGCATCATCTAGAAAAAATACATTTAAATAGAAATTTCTTTTTATGAGTCAGAATGTTGTATTTTGACTCTAAAAGGACCCACTCTATGGCAGTAAATATAACATGTAAAGTATTGCAGGAAAATGAATTTTCATTAGCATTTATAGAAATGAATCTTAAGATGTGTTTTATCATCTTACATATTTTAAGAAATCTCAATCATTATCCTTCTCTGTCTTCAAAATTTGAGAGTAACCTTTTATCAGAAAAGCACTTAAAAGACAGCACCTGCCCAGTGTTGATTCTCAGTTTGAATTTTGAACTCTGCCTTACTACCCTTATTAAAGGATAATGAAGATTACTTACTTTCAGGGGCTGCAGAGTGGCTCAAGTGGTAAAAGCGCCTGCCTAGGAAGTGTGAAGCCCTGAGTTCAAACCCCAGTGCCACCCCCCAAAAAAGATCACTTACCTTCTGCAACATTGTGATTCACAGTACATTTCTATGGAAGAGAGTGTGGTATTTAAAGGAAGACACAGAAACAAGAGTGGGGCGGGGTGTGGGGGGGTGCTCATCCCCTAATTCAATTGTCAGATCTTTCAAAATTCTGTTAGGAAATCCTTTTGGTGAGTAACGGTTGTGCCATGTGTTTTACATAGTCATCTGGCCTACTGGAGTCTTTTCAAGGGTGGTTATGAAACTGAGTGCTTCATGACTTATAAGGTAGGAATAGAAACCAAGGCTTATCATATTATATGATTAATTTGCTGTAAAATCCACATCTTGCCTCTGATTAAAATAACAAATTTGTCTTCAGTGAACCAAACCTCTAAGTTAATACTTTTTTAAAAACTAAGAAAAAAGAAAGAAATCAAGAACTATCAATAAGTTATGACCTGGAGACAAGTAAATAAAGAAGTGCTATTACTTTAATTCACTCTTACCATTTCAGGCTCATGAGAGGCTTGAAGATTCAAAACTAGAAGCTGTCAGTGACAATAACTTGGAGTTAGTCAATGAAATTCTTGAAGATATCACTCCTCTAGTGAATGTGGATGAGAATGCAGCAGAACTGGTTGGAATACTCAAGGAGCCTCACTTCCAGGTAACCTTGCCTGTCATGCTTCTCACAGCTCCCGTGTTCCCACAGTATTCTCCTTCAGTAGTTGAGTTCCAGCTAAAGGTCATTTTTCTTTTTAAGGTTATTTAAGGCCATATTTTGTAAGGATGTAAATTCCAACTTAGGTATTTTAATATCCTGATATGCTGAGGGCACATAAACAGACGCACGTAACTATACACACTATATAAGTGTATAGTATCTGTTACAGGAATACATCACCTTGGATTTTCCTTTGTGCATTTAAAGAAAATAACAACCCTGATTCACAATCAGACCACACAGTAGCAAGATTTTCCTTGCTGTGAGAGAGAATTTTTTTTCCTACCACTCTGTTTTCCATTCCTCTTTTGGCTGGATAATGAATTCTTCAATATTGCTTCTCAGGATTAGGGTGCATTTGATGACTGTGGGACAAAAGAGCTAAAGATAGAAACTGTTACATAACATACTCTTCCACACATACAAAAAACAAGTGCAACTTAAGGATTTGCCTATGAGTTAATCAGTTTTACAAAGAAAAATCCACTTGAGAAAGTCAAGAAAAATTTCTTTTAAACCTGTTAAATAAGAGAGTGTGGTATTGAGGAGTGTTGGGAAAATAGACTGATGGAGGAGAATAGAAACCCTAGAAATACATCCAGCCATGTATGACAGCTCATTTTATGATAGTCTTTGCACTTTAGTGGAGAAAAGATGTTGGTAAAATGGAAGAATAAAGTGTTTCCCACTGCAGATTTTAGCTCAGAAAATCAAATGGTAACACCCCTTTGCTTTTTCTCAGCCAGAGACTTTACGTGACTCTCCAGTAATGTTACTGCCAACTATGAAGATTACTAGTGAGATATTTCCACATAAACCAGGGTCTTAAGTACATAAAACATGGACACATGTCACAGACATTCTTTATGCAGGGACCAATTGATTGAGTCATTACAGGGACTAGTAGTAAGATAATTGGACGTTATCCTGAAGACAGTAGGAAATCTTGACAGGATGGTAGGGGAAGGTTGCAGATGTACATGTGAGTTTTCAACCCAGATCTATATGTGGCATTTGGCTGGACTACCCCTTTCCCTCTTGGTTATGGTGTTGACCTATTAAAGAGACCAGGCAATTGTCTAATGCCCCACTTCCCAGATTTGTTGGTTGCTTCCCTGCTGTGTTGTTGAGTTATCCCTTCTATTTCCTGTATATAAAAGTTCTAGTTAAAAGGTTGATGATTCAAGTTCACTATTTAGACCTACACTGCATCTTAAATGATATGATGCGAAATGAGTAGACTACATCAGATGTAGAACACCTGGCTGCCTCACCACTAGCGATTCTGAGATTGTTTCCCTTGATTAAGGCTTGATGACAGTCTAATCCTTTCTTTGAAGTCTTCTCTACTAGGAAGTAATCTAGTGTGTTGTTATTCTGACATGCTTTCTATCAACCATTTACCTTGTGATGAACACAAATTAAAAATCCTTGCCTAAATCAATATTTTCATTAGGGGTTGCACAATGGCATTTTTCAAATTTTCTCTTTCTACATTTATCATGTTGTTCTACAAATGTAGAGTTGCCCATCAGCTGGGCTGTTACCCTAGAGTGTGTTTGCTACTGAAAAGGCATGTGCTTAATCCCCCTTTTACCAATTTTTAAAGTAAAGAAATAGTTTAAAATGATGACAAATGAGTTTTCTCTGACCTTGTGTTCTTTAAATAGCATTGTGGATCTATGGGTTTTTCATTAATTCAGTGTTTCAATCTTCTGTAATTACTTTCTCATTTTCAAATTGTTGTGACTTTGGCCAGTTGTGGCAGAGTTTTAGTGTATGAATCTAGCACATGAGAATTTCAGACCACAGATAGGAAACTGGGAGTTATCAATGTGTAAGTAGTGTTTCAGGTTACAGGAGTGAAAAAAATACTGCCAAGTCAGAGTTTTGAATAACTTTCAGCATTTATAGGAAGAATTGTTCCATATAGATTTTTGAGTTCTGTCTTTTTAAATTCAGTCTCATACAGATGACTTCATGAAAAGACTAGGAATTACTAATTAAGCCAATATCCAGATGGTGTCTGTTGTTTTCTTTTTCTATTTTGATTTATTGTTTTTGACTTTATATTCTGTCCACTACAAAAAAAAATTTTTTTCAACTTAGCTTTTTTGTGTGTGTGTGTATGTGTGTGTGTGTGTGTGTGTGTGTGTGTATGTGTGTATGTGTGTGTGTGTGTATGTATGTATGTGTGTAGACAGCAGTCTCACTATGTAGCCCAGGCTGTCCTCGAACTTGGGATCCTCTTACCTCACCCTCCCAGTGCTGGAATTGCACATATGTACCACCATGCCATCTTAAATTTAGCTTTATGATGTGCAGGCATAGTTGCAGTAAAACTTCTTCCTTTAGGATAGGGAATGAAAAAAAAATCTTAAATATTCCAAAAAATGTAAGAAATTCCTAGAAAGCTGGATGTAAATCATCTGTGATAGTAGTTTGTACATATATACTAGTATATATGGTGTGTGTGTGTGTGTGTGTGTGTGTGTGTATTTGTAGTAACTAGAGAAAGTAAAATGTATATTATATCCAGAACCATTACTGACTCACTGTTTTTCCTTAAAAAATGTCTTTTATAGACAAATCTTTATTGGTCATGTGAAATTTCCTATACTGATATAAGTTGCTGATACTTATTTTCTATTGAGCATCTTTTTAATAGACATTTTGTACATTTAAAATGTATATACTATTACTTATATAGCAATGTAAGGGCAAAAGTTATAGTCCTTGACACTTGAGATTTTATGGTACTTGATTAGAAGGAAGTGATGATAAATACTGAATGAGGGTGATGGCACTGATGGCAGAGAAATTCAGTGCCATCCTTGCAACCAAACTTGGAAAGCTAGGTTTGGTTTCCAGTGAGCGTGCCACTTTAAAAATGTGTGACTAAATTTTGTTTCTTCAAAACTAAAATAAGAACCTTAAATTGTTTGATAACAAATAAAATGATATATTTCTGTTTCTCTAAAAAGATCTTGTACATATTTGATTGAGTCATTTGTGGGGATTTAATAATGTGTGTCTTGGAACTTTTTAGTACTCCAGTGGGATAATGAACTAACAAATTATTTTTAGTAACTCGTTCCATCAGTAGCTAATAACTACAAGCTGTTTTGACTCCTTATAGTCGCTCTTGGAAGCCCATGATATTGTGGCATCAAAGTGTTACGATTCACCTCCGTCAAGCCCAGAAATGAATAACTCTTCTGTCAATAATCAGTTACTGCCAGTAGATGCCATTCGTATTCTTGGTATTCACAAAAGAGCTGGGGAGCCATTGGTGAGTAGTGCCATCTTCAGCCTGAAAGAGAATCTCTGGCTCAGTCACTATCCTTTTTTTAGAATGTATTATTGTGAGAACTGTATCCATGTTTATTTTATCAATCTTTTTGACCTGTGTATAAATACACAGCTGGTGTTCTCTTAACTTGATTTAACCGTATGAAACCAAACCAAAATGAAAAATTAAACTGGATAAGAAGCTAGAAGTATGCCAATGGGTAGTAAAAATTCAGAAGATAACTATACTTATTCCTTTCTACTCTTTGAAGAAATGAACTCAGGTTGCTTATTAATGAGAGTATCAAAATATGGAAGAAAGTTGTTATTGAAACTTGAAGCCATAATAGGGCCCTATAAGTAGTGAAGTTTATCTACTAACATTGTTATTTGTATAACCTGACAAAAACAGTGATGTGAAAAAAATGAAATGCCAGGAATAAGTCCATCGAAATCCACACATATCTTTACTTGCTCCCTCAAGTAAAGATCCTGTGACTACATCCTGACTACTGGTATAGCTTCATTATTAGGGTTAACCTTACCATGGAGGTCCTTTTGATGGAGTAGTACAATGCATTGTCACAGTGCACCTAATTTAATGGGACTGAAATGTTAAGACAGAAACATGGGAACACTAAGAACAACTCACTTACCTAGTTTTAAATAAATAAATAAATAAATAAATAAATATATATATATATATGCATGAATATTTACATATTTCTTCATAATAAATGATAATTCTATTATTTCCTATAGGGTGTTACATTTAGGGTTGAAAATAATGATCTGGTAATTGCCCGAATCCTTCATGGAGGAATGATAGATCGGCAAGGACTTCTTCATGTGGGAGATATCATCAAAGAGGTCAACGGCCATGAGGTTGGAAATAATCCGAAGGAATTACAAGAATTACTGAGGAACATTAGTGGAAGTGTCACCCTAAAAATTTTACCAAGTTACAGAGATACCATTACTCCTCAACAGGTTAGTAATAGAGTTTTGGTAATATTAAGAATACTTTTAATTCTTTAACCATTCTGTTTGGAGTTAACCCTAGTTGCTATTGTTTTTCTAAAGAAAACAGAGAAACAACTGTGTGCGTTAATTGTTCTGAATTGGTTTATTTTGTCATGGGTGAACGACATCTGGGTATCAGAAAAGTCACCAGGCCTTTAATCATTAATCACACAAACACCTTTAACATGTTATGCTCCAGGCTCTGTGTTGGGGCCTCCAAGTTAGTGTTTATGTGATAGGCCAAATGAAGAATGAAGGCAGAAAGGGCAATGGATAAAAGACAATCTTGGACACTTCTTTTCATACATTTGATCTGTATTTCAGGTAGAATAGATAATTGAACGAGGGACTGTTCTAATAATGGAGACCATCTGAGTCAACAAGTGACTGCTGTTGTGATGGTGATGATGAGGCAGCTGTGGTATAATGGAATTATAAAGAAAGGAAGAATAGAAAATTACAGTAGATGGATTGAGACTGAAAAGGGTTTTTAAGCCTAGAAAACATACAAATAGGAAATATCTATCCAGGTTTGTTGCAGAAATTTAGTGTTTCATGTAAGAGTAAAATTGTAAATTTTGTTTCATAAGATACTGCTAGTATATCTCATTTTCTTTCTTTCTTTCTTTATTTATTTTAATTTTTCTTTTATTATTCATATGTGCATACAAGGCTTGGTTCATTTCTCCCCCCTGCCCCCACCCCCTCCCTTACCACCCACTCCGCCCCTCCCTCCCCCCCTCCCCCGCTCAATACCCAGCAGAAACTATTTTGCCCTTATTTCTAATTTTGTTGTAGAGAGAGTATAAGCAATAATAGGAAGGAACAAGGGTTTTTGCTGGTTGAGATAAGGATAGCTATACAGGGCATTGACTCACATTGATTTCCTGTGCATGGGTGTTACCTTCTAGGTTAATTCTTTTTGATCTAACCTTTTCTCTAGTACCTGTTCCCCTTTTCCTATTGACCTCAGTTGCTTTAAGGTATCTGCTTTAGTTTCTCTGCGTTAAGGGCAACAAATGCTAGCTAGTTTTTTAGGTGTCTTACCTATCCTCACCCCTCCCTTGTGTGCTCTCGCTTTTATCATGTGCTCAAAGTCCAATCCCCTTGTTGTGTTTGCCCTTGATCTAATGTCCACATATGAGGGAGAACATACGATTTTTGGTCTTTTGGGCCAGGCCAACCTCACTCAGAATGATGTCCTCCAATTCCATCCATTTACCAGCGATTGATAACATTTCGTTCTTCCTCATGGCTGCATAAAATTCCATTGTGTATAGATACCACATTTTCTTAATCCATTCGTCAGTGGTGGGGCATCTTGGCTGTTTCCATAACTTGGCTATTGTGAATAGTGCCACAATAAACATGGATGTGCAGGTGCCTCTGGAGTAACAGTCTTTTGGGTATATCCCCAAGAGTGGTATTGCTGGATCAAATGGTAGATCGATGTCCAGCTTTTTAAGTAGCCTCCAAATTTTTTTCCAGAGTGGTTGTGCTAATCTACATTCCCACCAACAGTGTAAGAGGGTTCCTTTTTCCCCGCATCCTCATCAACACCTGTTGTTGGTGGTGTTGCTGATGAAGGCTATTCTAACAGGGGTGAGGTGGAATCTTAGTGTGGTTTTAATTTGCATTTCCTTTATTGCTAGAGATGATGAGCATTTTTTCATGTGTTTTCTGGCCATTTGAATTTCTTCTTTTGAGAAAGTTCTGTTTAGTTCACTTGCCCATTTCTTTATTGGTTCATTAGTTTTGGGAGAATTTAGTTTTTTAAGTTCCCTGTATATTCTGGTTATCAGTCCTTTGTCTGATGTATAGTTGGCAAATATTTTCTCCCACTCTGTGGGTGTTCTCTTCAGTTTAGAGACCATTTCTTTTGATGAACAGAAGCTTTTTAGTTTTATGAGGTCCCATTTATCTATGCTATCTCTTAGTTGCTGTGCTGCTGGGGTTTCATTGAGAAAGTTCTTACCTATACCTACTAACTCCAGAGTATTTCCTACTCTTTCTTGTATCAACTTAAGAGTTTGGGGTCTGATATTAAGATCCTTGATCCATTTTGAGTTAATCTTGGTATAGGGTGATATACATGGATCTAGTTTCAGTTTTTTGCAGACTGCTAACCAGTTTTCCCAGCAGTTTTTGTTGAAGAGGCTGCTATTTCTCCATCGTATATTTTTAGCTCCTTTGTCAAAGATAAGTTGCTTATAGTTGTGTGGCTTCATATCTGGGTCCTCTATTCTGTTCCACTGGTCTTCATGTCTGTTTTTGTGCCAGTACCATGCTGTTTTTATTGTTATTGCTTTGTAATATAGTTTGAAGTCAGGTATTGTGATACCTCCTGCATTGTTCTTTTGACTGAGTATTGCCTTGGCTATTCGTGGCCTCTTGTGTTTCCATATAAATTTAACAGTAGATTTTTCAATCTCTTTAATGAGTGTCATTGGAATTTTGATGGGAATTGCATTAAACATGTAGATTACTTTGGGAGTATCGACATTTTTACTATATTGTTTCTACCAATCCATGAGCATGGGAGATCTCTCCACTTTCTATAGTCCTCAATCTCTTTCTTCAGAAGTGTATAGTTTTCCTTGTAGAGGTCTTTCACATCTTTTGTTAGGTTTACACCTAGGTATTTGATTTTTTTGAGGCTATTGTAAATGGAATTGTTTTCATACATTCTTTTTCAGTTTGCTCATTGTTAGTGTATAGAAATGCTAATGATTTTTCTATGTTGATTTTATATCCTGCTACCTTGCTATAGCTATTGATGATGTCTAGAAGCTTCTGAGTAGAGTTTTTTGGGTCTTTAAGGTATAGGATCATGTCATCTGCAAATAGGGATATTTTGACAGTTTCTTTACCTATTTGTATTCCTTTTATTCCTTCTTCTTGCCTAATTGCTCTGGCTAGGAATTCCACTACTATGTTGAATAGAAGTGGAGATAGTGGGCATCCTTGTCTGGTTCCTGATTTTAGAGGGAATGGTTTCAGTTTTTCTCCATTAAGTATAAGGCTGGCTGTAGGTTTGTCATATATAGCTTTTATAATGTTGAGGAACTTTCCTTCTATTCCTAGTTTTCTTAGAGCTTTTATCATGAAATGATGTTGGATCTTATCAAAGGCTTTTTCTGCATCTATTGAGATGATCAAGTGGTTTTTGTCTTTGCTTCTGTTAATGTGGTTTATTACGTTTATTGATTTTCGTATGTTGAACCAACCCTGCATCCCTGGGATGAAGCCTACTTGGTTGTGGTGAATAATCTTTTTGATGTGTTGCTGAATTCTGTTTGCCATTATTTTGTTGAGGATTTTTGCATCAATGTTCGTTAAGGAGAATGGCCTATAGTTCTCCTTTTTGGAGGTGTCTTTGCCTGGTTTTTGGATAAGTGTAATACTGGCTTCATAAAATGTGTTTGGCAGTTTTCCTTCCCTTTCTATTTCGTGGAACAGTTTAAGGAGGGTTGGTATCAGTTCTTCTTTAAAGGTCTGATAGAATTCAGCAGAGAATCCATCAGGTCCTGGACTTTTCTTTTTGGGGAGACTCTTGATTGCTGCTTCAATTTCATTTTGTGTTATAGGTCTATTCAGGTGATTAATTTCCTCTTGGTTCAGTTTTGGATGATCATATGTATCTAGAAATCTGTCCATTTCTTTTAGATTTTCAAATTTATTTGAATATAGGTTCTCAAAGTAGTCTCTGATGATTTCCTGGACTTCCATGGTGTTTGTTGTTATCTCCCTTTTGCATTCCTATTCTACTAATTTGGGTTTTTTCTCTCCTCATTTTAGTCAGGTTTGCCAGGGGTCTATCGATCTTGTTTATTTTTTCAAAGAACCAACTTTTTGTTTCATTAATTCTTTGTATGGTTTTTTTGGTTTCTATTTGTTGATTTCAGCTCTTATTTTTATTATTTCTCTCCTTCTATTTGTTTTGGGATTTGCTTGTTCTTGTTTTTCTAGGAGTTTGAGATGTATCATTAGGTCATTGATTTGGGATCTTTCAATCTTTTTAATATATGCACTCATGGCTATAAACTTTCCTCTCAAGACTGCCTTAGCTGTGTCCCATAGGTTCCGGTAGGTTGTGTTTTCATTTTCATTGACTTCCAGGAACTTTTTAATTTCCTCTTTTATTTCATCGATGATCCATTCTTCATTAAGTAATGAGTTATTTAGTTTCCAGCTGTTTGCATGTTTTTTGTCTTTACTTTTGTTGTTGAGTTCTACTTTTACTGCATTGTGGTCAGATAGTATGCACGTATTATTTCTATTTTCTTATATTTGCTGAGGCTTGCTTTGTGCCCTAGGATATGATCTATTTTGGAGAAGGTTCCATGGGCTGCTGAGAAGAATGTATATTGTGTAGAGGTTGGATGAAATGTTCTGTAGACATCTACTAGGTCCATTTGATCTATTGCATATTTTAGATCTTGGATTTCTTTATTGAGTTTTTGTTTGGATGACCTATCTATTGATGATAATGGGGTGTTAAAGTCTCCCACAACCACTGTGTTGGCGTTTATATATGCTTTTAGGTCTTTCAGGGTATGTTTGATGAAATTGGGTGCGTTGACATTGGGTGCGTACAGATTGATGATTATTATTTCCTTTTGGTCTATTTCCCCTTTTATTAGTATGGAATGTCCTTCTTTATCTCGTTTGATCAATGTAGGTTTGAAGTCTACTTTGTCAGAGATAAGTATTGCTACTCCTGCCTGTTTTCGGGGGCCATTGGCTTGGTAAATCTTCTTCCAGCCTTTCATCCTAAGCATATGCTTATTTCTGTCAGTGAGATGAGTCTCCTGTAAGCAACAAATTGTTGGATCTTCTTTTTTAATCCATTTTGTCAAATGGTGTCTTTTGATGGGTGAATTAAGTCCGTTAACATTAAGCGTTAGTACTGATAGGTATGTGGTGATTCCTGCCATTTAGTTGTCTTAGTTGTTTGAAGGTTTGAT